TTCTTGCCATCCTTGGCATTCTCTCTGAATTGCAATACTTGGCCAGTTAGGCCTGCCTCTGTCTCAGATATGTGAACTCCGGATGCCACAGGAAAGCTGTGTAGTATTCCTTAGGACTCAGGGGACACAGGCATGAGTAGAAGCAAGTATTGGGAGAGGCACTGCATGAAGTGGCAGCTTGCTGGCCTCATCGTGCTCTGTCTGGTTCCTATCCTGTAACCCATGGCATGCATTGATCACCCCAGACCATTAATCTTCATATATTTAATGAGAATGTTAACAGTTCTGTGTGGTCCAAATCTAATCTAAAAATGTCTTGTGTAATTGTCGTATTTAAGGCAAAAAATAAACCAGAACCTCCCTTCTCTCTTGCATCAGTCTTGCCTGGGACTGCCACTTAGTGTCACTGCAAGGGCAGATCTGGAAGAAGATACAGGGAAAGCCACCTGCTGTATTGTCATATATATATATTGTTTCCTGGACTCTCATTTTCCAGAAATGTTTCATGGCATTTTCTCTTGGTGTTTTTCCCTTTGGCATTTTCATGGCATTTTCTCTTGGGTCTTTCTGACAGTATTCTTTATTCAACATTTCTTTCCTTACCACATTGTTTGTTCTGGTTTTGGTAGTCATTTTAAATGAATTTATTTGTCACAGTAAACCTAATGCTTACTTCTGCATTGCCATTGAAGAGTGGTGACAGCAGAGACTGAAAAGCAGTAACAGGCCTTGCTTGGCCATGCATTAATACTGAAAACAACACTTGAACTGCTTAGGAGCATTATGAACTTTGGCCTTGAAGAGACTAATTCAAGGCAGTCATCCCAGCAGAAGGAATTTACTCAGATTGCAAGGCATGGAGTATTGTAACCAGCAACCCTCTTTCATTCAAAGGGGAAAATTCTAAATACTTTGATAAAAATCCTTGGCAGTTTACCAGATCTTTTTTCCACTACTCAAATTACTTCAAAAACTGGGATGGTTTTACAGGCTGAGAGAGGAATGTGGTTTTGAAGATAGAACCCAAATAATCAGGAAAACAGTGCATTTGTTTTCAATATACTTTTGATATTTTGCATTTTTCACTTCAATGGTAAGAATAAAATAAATATTCTTTCTGAATAATTTAATCCTCTATTCAACCTAAAATGTCATGAGAAATGTTTTTAAAGAACAATCATGATATATTAAATGTATTTCTCACTGTCTTGCTCAGGGGTATCAAATTGGCTTGCTGGGAAGTTATAACAATCTGAAATTCTATTACTTGACAAGTATATTTGGGGGTTTTCATGTTCCAGCAGAATTAAGAGGTATTCTAAAACCATTTCATTTTGTTATCCACAACCATTTCCCAGAAGCCATTTATGAATTTAGATTTTACCTTTGGATAGGGGTTAGCTATTAGACATTAATGTATTACTGGTTGCTGTTTATGGAAAATGGGGAGGAAGAGAAATGAGAAATATTTTCGCATTCTTTTTAAGATCCTAATTGTTTAAATCCACTTTGAATGATTTGTGCTGGCTCTTGTTTCTAATGTTCTCTGACTGTAGTTGCAAGTAAAATAATAATCAGTCTTTTACCATTCATCACAAATCTAGCATAGCACCATGGTGAATGAACAGTTGGCCTTATTATCACTAATTTGTTATGATCAAAGTTGTAGTCCAATTTCAGATTACTACAAACTTGATGAATTCATTTGCAGAAACAGCTGAAACTTTGATTATATTCTAGGCTGTAGCAAGTAGGGCAAACAAAGAAGAGCAGTAGCACTGCCAAGAAAAATGTCAGTCTGTCCAAGTGTATGCAGTGAAGGTGACATCATTATGTCTAACATATGCAATTATAACTTTATAAATTTAAGACTATTCTAAAATAATCTCTGCAATATTTTTCCTTTTTTTTCAGGCTGGTTTGTCTGCCTTTATCACTATTACCTTTTCCATTGTGATTAACATAAAATGAGAATCATAAATAACTATTATGGAAGACATTAATTAACACTTCTTTAGCTTGAGAAGCTTGAGAAACTTGTCCCAGTTTGCCTGCTCCTTCTCAAATAATTACTCTGTTGATACATAGTTAATAGAATCCTACCTTATCCCCTTCTAGTAAGCATTTCTCACCAAACTTTTATTTTGAAATTTGCTGAAAGTATATTTTGCAGACTTGAAAATAAACTGCTATTTTACTGTAGTATGTTTTTTAATAATAATAATGATTATAATAATAATAATAATAGTACCTGGGTTTTTTTTCACAGTTTGGCATACTTCAGTTCATGTTAAAACGTGAAATTGAGTAATGGGTTTTAGATTTGTATGTTTTTATTGAAAGTTTTTTAAACTTAGTTAATCTAAGAGACAATGATTAGGAAAGGTGGTGAGGCAGTTTTGAAGTAGCGTGGGGAGAATGTGTGGGGGCAGTATTATACCATGGGAAACTAAGGAGGAGTCTTTATTTACACTTCAGACTTTCAGATTTTTTTTTTATAACACTTTTTCTTTTCTCATTCTGACATTAATTTTGCTGAGAGCTGCCGGAGTCTGTTACTTTATGACAGTAACAAGTAGTTGGAATATATTGCAAAACAAAACTGAGAGTTTTTCCATGGTGTCTTTTCTTTGACTTCCTTAAGTAAATTCAAGCTAATGGTAGTAGAGTTCATTTCAACACGTTATACTTTTAGCTAGTATATTTTTCAAAATATCTGTGATGTTACTTGCATCTGAGCTTTGCATACCATCTTGTCTTATCTTGTCAAAAGTAGCCAACAAGCAAACCCCTCTGATTTGTATGTGCTAAGTGCATAGATTTACTGCTGCAGTTTGAACATTTTTAAATTAAAATATATTGCTTGTTCCAAGTGTATTGATTTACACATCTCTTTGTCAATATTAAGTAGAGCAACTTTTCCAATAAGTTAAAAAACATCTGGCAAGACAGGTTACATTTACTGGATTGGTTGAAGTTTATATTTCTGCATTTTACTTGTTTGTGTGTTCTTGCTCTTTTGCCCTTTATTCTCAATCACTGTTACAGATATTTGTGATGTCCCTTAACTAAGAAGAGATGCTGCCGGTTGCACTCTGAATTCATACAAAGTTGCAGTCATTTAAATGTGACCCTTCTCTATGCTTTCAGTTCCTAGTAGTGCTGAAATACAAAGGTTCTACCTGAGGCTGGATCTTTTTTAAACACCTAAAAAATCCTAACTCGGGATCAAAGCTCTTAAGCTTAATGGTGGTGTAATGGTAGTGAATTATGAGAATGGCTGTTTTTACTTTAAGTGCACTTTAGAGCAATGTTTCAGTTGTACCTGTTTGAGAAGGCTTTGAAATCACCTTTTTTGTCCATTTCTAGTCATCAGCCAGCTACTTGAGCAATAGTAATTTATTTTTAGAATATGTGTATGAGTTATCAATGCAAGCAATCTTGCTGCTGCTCCCTCATCTCAGTTCTCTTGCACCTGAATGTGTCCTAAGTAAGCAAATCAGCAAGTGTGTAGTAGTTGATAGGCTATAGGAGCATCCTCTGTCTTATTTTGTTAAAACTTTTCTCCATTTCTCTGTCTGCTCAGCCTGTTTTGATGATTGCTGATCTGAAAAATAGCTGAGATTTAGAGCTGGACAATAACATCTAGTGGGTACAAGCTTGCTAGTGGAACATCAGCCTGGTGCAGATCAAGGAAAGATAAATTTGAGTGGTTGTTTGTCTATAGACTGAGGTCACACTTAATAAAAATCTTTCCCAATGTCAGGTAGCTCCACCTGGGGACTGACCAGTTCTCTAAAAACTGTTGTGATGATTTTTGCTTTTAAGTACTGTCATTCCAGTTGCTTGATCTCTAGGAAGTCACTAAGAGATTCTTTTTAGGAGTGATGGGTGCTGAAAAAAAATCAGAAATCATTTTCTCTCTCAGTGTGGTCTGACTAGTGTGTATCTATTAGTATTAGACATGAATGTAATCCAGCAAGTACCTGTTTAAATACAGTACTAATTTTTAGTCTGAATACTTGCAACAAGTTGAAAGAATGGATTATGATAGCAGATGGTTTGTTGAAGTGGAAATAGTAGATTAAGGAAGAAAAGAAAAATTGTAGAAACATTTTCATGAACTGTTAAGAAAATCTTTTGAGTGACAGTGGGCAGCCAGCATTGTAGAGACATGTGGGAAAACTGGGTATTTAGTTTCTGTTTAGGGTTAAGTTGAGAGTGATTGCCAGAGCCCCACAGCAGTGGAACATGTGAGGTCTGTGGTATGTGCTCTGTACATAGGGGAAAAAAAAAAGGTTTGTCTAGAGCTGCTTTATATCAGTAGAGTTAATATGGCATAGGGAAAAAAAGCAATAAATTTCTTTGTCTCTCTAAATGACATTACTTTGAACTTCTAGGCATCTTATCTTAGATTTTCTATAATAATTGAAATGAACATCTGATTTGTATAACCTCTGTTGCTGATGATACATTCTGTGGAGTTGGTACCTCTATTTTTTCCAGTGTAATAAATCTGTTTTGTCAAGAAGAGGGAGAGAGGTGTTGTATCCATTGTCATTCACTAGTGGAAAGCCAATTTTTTAATGCCTTTTTTTACTTGGGTTTTCTATGGAAGTGATGTGAGCTGTCATCACTTTTCTTTCTTCCTTCTTGCCTCATCCTAATACCTTCAGGAAATTCCAAATTAATTTGACAATCCACTTAAATGTGACAGTCGTTCACATGTAAATGATTATTAAATACCTCAAGTTTTGTGAAAAGAAGTAGCCAGCTTAAGTGACAAACCTAAATTTATTAACTCCCTTGAGGAAAGGCTTTTGGCATAAACTTAGATATTAGCATGAGAGAAACCCATGCAGGAGTAACCTTATAAATGCTTTAACATTTGATCAGTGTTTGTGCCTTTGTTACCCTCAAAGTCACTTAAATGTCAGATGTAAAGCTATAAGAAACCAGGTAGAGTTGCTTGATTTTTTTATTTATTTTTTTTTTCACAGTTTGCTTTATCTCCCTTCAGAATCTATCATGAACAGGTAAAGATAGAACAGAAACTTAAAAGCACTGATTTTATTGATTTGTTGGCCAGGTCATTTATGTTTAGTAATTAGTATCCTCTGTTATCCTTAATTATTTTAGACAATGTTATTTATGTATCAGTTAATTATACTCGAAGCTTTTTTCTGAACAGAAACCATGCTGAACCTTGTTTTTTGTCTAGATCTGTGGTTGTAATGACCTCTAAGATTTACCTTAACTTTAGTCTGAATATTCTAAAAATGTTGTGTTTCCCTGTTTTAATAGTGTCTAAGGTTAAATTTCCCTGAGGTACTGATAAAAGATAATGCCAAGAAAATTCTTGGCAAATTTTCAAGAAGGGCAGGTCCCTTGAGTTCCAAGAATGATGGGTCAAGGTGAAAGCAGACATTTGCTTTCTGGTAGCCCAGAATAAGAATTGGGTCTCTGCTAAGTTTAGTCAAGTGAAGCACGAACAGAAGTGACAGCAGACTGATTCTTTGGATTTGAACTGTATACACAGCACATTTACATCCAAGAGCACTAATAACTAATAAATAACTACTGTGCATGCATCTCCATGCTACCTATTTTTGTGTCACTTGGAATTTTAATCTCCAGAAATTTGGTGATTTCATTTCTTCTACTTTCCTATTCCCTTGTATTATGTCAGCTGCCAATCTTGATGTTTACTTGAACTAGATAAGCAAACTGATTGTAACAATGGTAAAGAGTTGCTTGAATATGTTAAGTTTCTTCCTTTGGTTTGCATAGAAGTAGAGTTCATGGTTCAGTATTTCTGATTGTGGAGGACTATGATATAGCAGTGTAATTCTGGAAATAAATACTTTTCATTATTTCAAAATAATGCTATTCAGAGATAATAAGGGTTTTACTCAAGAGAAAATTTGACGCAATCTGTGTTTTTTTTCCCTATATTTTTCAGTGTTATTTGCCTCCTTAGTTAGGATTGCAAACAATTAAAATTTGTATTACCTTCACACAGCTTCAGTATCATTCATTCACACTATTGCCTTATGTGCTTTATATTGCATTAAAGCAGTTGAGTGTTTGGGCAATCCAGATCACAGGAGGAAGTTGTTTGCTAAGTTTTTGTGTAATATTTGTTTCATATAGAAATACACTCTTTACATGTGTGTCTGTGTTTAAAAAGAAATTAATGGGGATTGTAGCCAATGCTAAAGCAAAATTGCAGCCTGATAGGTGTATCAGCCAAAATAAATAATCAGTAAGAATATCAGGTCTGCCCTTTCTCCCATTGCTTGGAGTATTTAAAAAGATTTACAAAATAGCTGTGAATTTAGCTTCTTGAATGTCAGAAGTCCACTGATTTCACAAAGACTGCTTCATTTAACTGAGAATTTTTTATGGTTTCATTTATTACACTGAAACAGTTCTTAAGAGCTAAGAAAAATACCTCTGACATAATTTAATTGCATTACTTCGTGGCATTCAGATAATTGAGGTTGAAGTGAGTTGTCAAGTTAATGTCATGTCAAACTCTTGCCTTAGTGGACTCCAATACTGAATTTGGGGTTTGGCCTGGTTTTGTGATTGGCTGGAAGGCTAATGTATATAACTGCTACTTCAGGACATGATCAGAGTTACAACACTGGATTCTGTATAGTATATTCCTTTCCCATCTGAGGGGTTTTTAAGGCTTTCTGTAGGGGGGGGGTGGGGGGGGTGGGAAACAAACCAGAACAGCAATGCTAGCTGTATGCTCTGTCATCTGCTTAATCCTTATCCCCTTCACATTGTCAATACTCATCTAATTCCACTTTAACAACAGTAATTGGCTGATGGAGTAGCAGATATAGATTTATTTTCCTGATGACTCCTTGACTTTTTTCCTCTGGTAATACTAATAGAATTCCAAATCCTTACTGGTGTGATCATGTCATGAGTAGGTCAACAGTCATGTCAAGGTCCTATTGGAAACTTCATAGCCAACATCTTAATTTAGACTTAGCTATCTTTTTCTCTTGTATGTGCAATTGTAAGCAATTCTTTCAAGTATCACACTCATTCCATTATAACACAATTCGTTTGATGCAAAGGGAGGCAGTTCTGCATGTGAATTGTTTACTGAGTGTTAGTGGGTCACACAGGCTCAGTAAGCCTCTTCCAGGTGTGATGCATTATCTGAATTATGTGGGAAGCTTGAAGGAAACTAAATACTGCTTATTTCTTTTCAAAGTTCTTTCAGTTGATGAGAATTGAAATGGATATTGTGGCTTTCTAATATTTAGGGAAAACATGTCTGAAAATGTGAAATGTCAGGTCGCTGGGGTACCTGAGTTGATCCAGTGGTTTCCAGCTTCTGGAAGGCAAAGGCTTGCTTTGTTTCTTGCTTTTTTTAACTCTGTCCTAGCTCTTCACCTACCTGCCTTAAGCCATGTGGTTCCTTCCTGTTCTGCATTTTACCAGAGCTCTGAATTACCACTGACTTCTGAGTTGCCTCAGTCCACTATAGCAAATGGTAAAAAAAAAGACTGTTCTTTTGAGGTTGATTTCGTCATCTTAGGTGGAAGTGATCTGGAGAAGGGGAGAAACACTCCCTTTGACACACGAATGTGGAAGAGGGTATGCAGGAAAGCCCATTTTAACAGAAATGTGTTATTTAGGACAAACTGTTTCCTGGTGGGATTTTTACCTTTAGTTTTTGATTAAGCTGAAATTGAGAAATAAGACTATCAAGTTGTTTGGAAACTTGTCTGGGTTTGATGGACTAATAGCCATCTTTCATATCACCATCTGAATTTGCTTTGTCTTTCCTATTTGTCTTAACCTTCATGGGTTTTTTTTGTACCAGTGTGTATCCAGTCTGGAAATGGGAAGTATGCTGTGCTACCTTTCCTGGACTTGAAATAATTTTGCAGAAGTTTTGGGGATTGACTTGAGTAAGAACAGAGTAGAGTGCATATACTCAAGCTGTCAGAAAAATCCGTAACAACTGATTAAACACCTTTTGTCTCTTAAAGCATGTCAGACTTAATTGAGTGGTTAAGAACCACTTTTGGCAGAGACTTAATCTCACTTAGTCTTTTGGCTAACTGAACAGTACTCAATATTGAAAGGGTGCATGCAGTCTCTTGATAGAGATTTATGCACTTGACCAAGTGCTTAAATTTTACAGGGAAACATTTAAATTCAAGTGCTTTGGTAGTCCTACATCAGAAGCAATGCCTATCTTGGGAATTACCACTGTTAAATCAGCAAGGAATATTAACCACAGTCTACAGCCTGGCTTGACTGCCTTATCAAAGCTACTCTTTTTATCCTCTGTCCAAAACCTTTAGTCTGTGAAGCTGTTGACCAATTATAGGGAACTCATCCATTAACAGTGTCTCTGCCTAGTGCATTAGCTTGGCCTCTTAATGTTTCTGTAAGGTATAGGTAGAAAGCAGAAAGGAGTAGAGATGAGAAGAAATACCCCCAAACAGAGCATTTCCTCTTTAGCAGGGAAGTTATCTTCAGTGTAAAGCTTCTTGTTGCCAAGCCATGCAGGTGTTTGACTTCCACTTTAAAGTAAGGGGAGGTCCCAGAATTATAACACCTTCTAAGAACCTGATCTAATATATGAAATGTGCTTATGGAAATATTCCTTTAGTCTAAAAAAACAAGACTGCTTTGCTGTAGATAAAAAATGTGTATTTTTTTAAAAAAAAATTTTGATTATATCTATTTGCTTCTTCTGGAAAAAAAGCCCAGAAAGCATAAGTAATAATCTACACTTAACTACATGTTTATTAAGTTTTTCCCTGATCTGTAACTGAAGAAAAACCCAGTAGTTTAGGATGTTAATCTGTAGTTTTAGAAACATAAATTGCTTCAATATCTAAACTCATAATAACAGTAGTACTGTGTTATGCTAAATTCTTATACTGAAATATTTTCATTTTATAATGTTGTATGTATAACAGCATATATTCTTAATTTATGAGCAAGTGGAACTTCAGAATTCTTTGGAAGTATTGGCAAGTGCTACATCCTTGCTCCATTCTCTTTTTAATATAGATTCAACTCCCTTGTTAAATTAATTTCATCCAGTCAGTTGTCAGATGGACAAGAAAATGTAACTGGGGCCTTGATAAAGTGACCAAACATGTCTTTAGTGCATATAATTTATTTGTATTTCCTCATTACAAGTAAGTCAAAAAATAATATTTTTTAAACTTTGGCTTTGTTTTCCTTTAAAATGACCATCTTTTTGTCAGTATATTCTATAAAGTTATTTATTATATGTGAGGTTCTTAAAAAAAATATTTTGAAATATAGTTTCAAATTAATAATGCCAATAGTGTAAAAGATTTGAAAACTTTCAGTACAGTAATTTATCTAAACTAATTTATAATGACATTCTTAAGGGAATGTTTCCCTTCTTTAAGGGATATGTTATCTTGGATTCTTTTCCCTAACGTATATTGGGTTTTCTTGTGGTTATGCTTTTTGGCTTTTAGATTTTATTTCCATCTTTTTTTTTTTTTGTTCAAGGTACAATAGGTTAAGTTAGCAGCATAGGATTTGTTTCATTAAAGAATTTGAAACATTATTCTATTGTAATCTCCCCCTACCAGCACCCTGAAGGTTAACAATTTCTTCAGTAAACTAAGAAGTTAAATTAAACAGCCAAACTGGCTTAAAACAGCTTGCAGTTCCTAAAGAAGGGGAGGATAAGAGGATGCACACCCTTGGTTGATCCTGCTCTTTTCCACCTAATGAAGTAGTTGAGCATTTCACTGAAATTTCTCAACTTGGATTTGTCCACTTCATTGCACCATTCCATCCCACTTCTCAGCATTTGAGTGGGTTCAAGCATCACTAAAAAAATAATTGAAAATTACAAAGCAGAGCTAGACCTAGCACAGACTATAAAAGATAGCAAAGACATTGGCAGATTTAATTTTTACTATTTTAATTGTAGTTTATAAGTTGTTATAAACAACTTAGGATTTTTGTTCCTTGTGGACTTACGTCTCATGTGCTTATACTTGTT